AGATAAGCTATTTATTTATTTATCTATTTATTGAGACAGATTTTCTCAGTGTAGCCTGCACTAGAACTAACTTTGTAGACCAGGCTGGCCTAGAGCTCACTGATCTGCCTGCCTTTGCCTCCCGAATGCTGGAAAGGTGTGCACTGTCACTGCTGGTCCTGGTAAACTCCTTTTCAAATCAACTGAGAACTGGTAGAAGTAGAAATGGCAAGAAATAGGCTTGGAGAGAGAAGAATATCACATCAAGCTGCAGTTATGTTTTAAATGGATGTATTGAAAGAGAGTGGCTGTTGAATGCCAGCCTAGACTTGATCATGGCTTAAGATCTTTGCTAGTTAAATACTCTTAGATATGGCCTTGATAAATTGAGTCAGTTTAAAGAATAGGTGTGGGGTGTGATTTTTTTTTTCTCCCCAGGGGATCCAGCCTAAGCCTTGGGTATGCTAGACAAGCATGTCACTGAACCGCTAAGCTATATATCTCAAGCCTGTGTGTGTATGTATGTGTGTGTGTACAATTAGTTATGAAAATTTAAACTCTTGCCCTAGCAGTTGAAACATTCTTTGTTTTCATATATTTATCTTTTTTGCCAAACTTGCATGCTGTCTCTGAGATGCTTTGTTAAAACATGGCCATTTCAAAGTACATTTGAGCTGCTAATTCTCACCCCACAGTTTTCCCATTTGCCCTTATTTAAAGAGCATTTAATTTCTGTTCCCACGGTAAGACATGAGAACAGTAAAGAGATCTTTTATCCAGCACACGATTTGGACATTAAGCACAGGCAGCTAGAAACACAATAATAACATGTTTCTGTTGTAGCTTTAAATAGTTCCTAGTTTTTTTGGTTTTGTTGGTAGTAGTATTTTTTGTTTGTTTGTTTTAATAAAGGGAAAATAGAGAGCAGCCTTCATTTTGCCTAGAATTCAGAAGACATTGCTATGCCATGCCATAGATTTCATGGTGGTTTTTTTTTTTTTTTTTTTTTTTTTGACCCCAGACACTCTAGAATGGGCGAGGAATCTGCAGTCCAGGAATGACATCTTGCCCCTCTCTGTATGGTTGTCTCAACAGCCTCAGTCCTTTTCCTCATTGTAACTGCATTGCATGTCAATGGTTTAGACGGGGATGGGGGCCTACCAAGCTTATCTGCCTCTGTACAAAAAATTGATAATAATGACGATGATAAAAAAGAGCTACTGTTCCTACCCCACTAAAAGCAGCAGGATCCAGTGTAGAATGCGTTAGGAAAATAAAGTAGCACTGACTCATGCGTGTCCAGCTTTTCCTTCGTGCCATGGACTGTGCCGTGCACATTTCAGACATCTTTTTATTTCCCGTTCACAGCTCCTGCACACAGAAGAAAGCAGGGACGTCTCACTGTGATTCCTCCAAGTTTTGTCACCAACTACTGCTGACCAAATAGTAGGTTTGTCTTAATATGCCATTTCAAAAAGCAAACTCCTACTTTCTGCAAGTCCCTTTATTACTTTATCACACTATTTTTTGCAACATAATAATATTTGGCATGTCCTTATTTATTTGAGGCAAGGTTTCATACAGCCCATACTGAGCTCAAACTGTTGCTGAGGATGTGAACCTCTGATGCCTTGCCTCTTCATTTCAAGTTAGAAGCCTGTTGTAACAGTCAGTTGTAAACCATTTTTTTCCTTTATTCTTTTCTCATACAAAATATCCTGACTGCTGTTTCCCCTCCCTCTACTCTTCCCAGTGCCCCCACCTCACCCTCTCCTCTCCTCCCAGATCCACTGCTTCTCTGGTTCCCTTCAGAAAAGAGCAGGCCTCCCAGGAATATCAACCAGAGAACTTATAACAAGTTGCAAACCCTCACTAATCAAGGCTGGAATAGACAACCCAGTAGGAAGAAAAGATCTCCAGAACAGACAAAAAGTCAAATACACACCCCTACCCCCACTGTTAGGAGTCTCACAGAAACCCTAAGCTAAACAACCATAACATCTATGCAGAGAACCCAGCTCAAACCCAAGCAGGCTCCATAATTGCTACTTCAGTCTCTGAGCCCCTGTGTGAGCCCTGGCTAGTTGATTCTCTGGCTGTGCTCTCCTGGTGTCCTTGACCCTTTGATTCTTCCCTATGCTGCTCCCTGAGCTCTTCATAGGGTTTGGCTGTGGGTGACTCTGCATCTGTTCCCGTAAGCTGCCAGAGGAAGCCGTTCTGATTATGCCAGACACAGATCTATGAGATTAGCAGAGTATCACTAGGAATCATTTCACTGACTTTTTAAAATTTAATGTTTATTTTTGTACCTATCATGTTTGGTTCTACCCTAGATCTCTAGGCTACCCAATGTCTGGTTCCTGGGCATCCATCCAGGCAATGTCAGGCATGGGCTCCCTCTTGTGGTGTGGGCCTCAAGTCCATTAGTCATTATTTGGTCACTCCTACAAGTTTTGAGCCCTTTTGCTCCAGCATATCTTTCATGCAGGTCATGCTGTAAGACCGAAGTTTTGTAGCTACGTTGATGTCTCAGTCCTTCCAATGGAAGACTTGTCTGGTTCGAGAAGATGGCCAGTTCAGGCTCTGTATCCTCCACCTCACTAGGGTTACCTGGTAAATCCCAGGGAGTTTCCACTGCCCTGGGTCTATTTCCACATTGTTCCCAAAATATTCCTCAGCTCCAGCCATCTTTCCCAATACACACACACACACACACAATCTATCTATCTATCTATCTATCTATCTATCTATCTATCTATATCTCTTCTTCCTCTCCCTCTGTTCCCCCTCTTATTTCCCCCTCCCGATCCAACCCCTCTTGGTCCTATCCCCATCGACCCTCAGTCTGCCCACAAATATTATCTTTCCCTTTAGAGAGGTCTATGCACACACCCCACCCCTGTTAGCCTCTCTGGGTGTGTGAATTGTAGCATGATTATCCTTTTCTTACCAGCTATAATAGCCACTAATAAGTGAGTACATACTTTGTTACCTTTCTGGGGCTGGGTTGGCTTAATTTTTAATTAAGGGTAGTTTTAATTTTTTTTTTCTAGTGTTGATTTGCCTGAAATTTTCAGTATGTCATGGTTTTTTAACAGCTGATTTTTTTTTTAAGAATAATACTCTTGTGTAAATATTTTATCAATTTTTCTGAGGGACATCTAGGTTGTGTCCAGGTTTTGGCTATTTTCAATAAAGCCACTATGAACATATGCCCTTGTGGGTAGGATAGAGCGTCTTTTGGATATATGCCCAAGAGTGCAAGAGTGGTATAGCTGGGTCTTGAGATAGATTGATTTCCAGCTTCCTGAGGAACTGCCATATTGTGATTTCCATAAGTGTCTGTTCAAGTTTGCACTTTCACCAGCAGTGGAGGAGTGTGCTGCTTGCTCCACCATCCTCTTGCTCCACCATCCTCGCCAGCATCAACTCTCACTTGTTACTGATCTTAGACACTGACAGGTGTAAGGTTAAATCTCAAAGTAGTGTTTCTCACCATTTCAGATTCCTCTGTTTAAAATTCCCTGTCTAAATCTGTAGCCTGGTTTTTGTTTGTTTGTTTTTTGTTTTGTTTTGTTTTTAAGATTTTTTGAGACAAGGTTTCTCTGTGTAGCCCTGGCTGTCCTGGAACTCACTCTGTAGACCAGGCTGGCCTTGAACTAAGAAATCCTCTCTCTCAAGTGCTGGGATTAAAGATGTGCACCACCACTGCTGGGCTCTGAAAAGCCCGTTTTTAAATTGAATTGTTTGGGGTTTTTGTGATATTCTGTATATATTTTGGATATTAGCCCTCTGTCAGATGTGGAGTTGGTGAAGAAGTTTTCTCATTCTATAGGCTTCTGCTTTGTCCTATAAAAGTTATTGGTGTTCCGCTCAGAAGTTCTCTTCTATGCCAGTGTGTTCAAGACTCTTCCCTTTCTCTCTTATCAGGTTCAGGGTATCTGGTCTTTGAGCCACTTGGACTTGTGTTTTGTACAGAGATATAAATATGGATTATGGATTTATTTGCATTCTTCTACTCTACTTGCTAACATCCAGTTAGACAAGCACCATTTGTTGACAATGCTGTCCTGTTTTTCCCATTCTGTATTTCTGTCTTTACCAAAATTCAAGTCTCCATAAGTGTGAGGACTTACATCTAGGTCTTTGATTCAGTTCCATTGATCTGTTTCTGTTTTTATGGCAATACCATGCAGTTTTTATTATTACTATTGCTCTGTATGTATTACTGCTTGAAATTAGGGATGGTGATTCTTCCAGAAGTCCTTTTATTGTTTAGGATTTAGCTATTATGGGTCTTTTATTTTTCTATATGAAATTAGGCATTGTCTTTTCAAGGTCTGTAAAAAATTGTGTTGGAATTTTGATGGGAATTGTGTTGAGTTTGTAGATCGATTTTGGTAAGATGGCCATTTTCACTATGTTAATCCTACTGATCCATGAGCAAGGGAGATCTTTCTATCTTCCAGTATCTTCACTTTCTTTCTTCAAAGAACTGTAGTTTTCACATAAGTCTTTCACTTGCTTTGTTAGGGTTACCCGAAAATATTACATATTTAAGTCCCAATATCCTTAATTCCTCCAATGCTTTGAAGGGGTGTTGAATTTTGTCAAGGGCTTTTTTTTTTTTTATCTAATGAGACGACCATATGGTAAACCATTGATTTAAAGTTATGCATAACTTTTATATAGTGTGATGGGGGGGCGGGGTGAGCTTGCTTGAATGTGTGGCTCCCTTGTGGAGGTCAGGACATTCTGAGAGTTCGTTCTTTCCTACCACATATATCCCAGGACCAAACTCAGCTAGTGGCAGGCAGGCAAGCTCCTGGTGAGCCATCCCCCTGCTTGTAGACCACTCACTGAGGTCAGTTTCTCACCGTGGCCCTAGTGTTTTAGCAGATTTTAACTTTGGGTTCTTATCTAAGGCAGGTGTTTGCCGTGCTGCGGGGTGACTCTTGTGGATCAGTGCTGCCTGGAAGTGAGTCATACTCCTTGTTCAAGAAGGAAGCAGCTAAAACAGCATGAATGAACAAATGAAGAAAGTGGTAAAGACAAGTGGTCAGAAAGGGCCGGGTGGAAGAGCCCTCGACAGAATGACCTTAAAACAAGACGAGGCAAGGCCAGTCCTGAACACCAGAGTGGACCCTCCCCATGTGACATACACCATCCACGATGCAAGTGAGATTAGCCTCGATACTGAGGAAGAGGACTTCCCTGATGGATACCTAGAGTGCATCATAAGAGGTGAGTTCTCTGAACCCATTCTGGAAGAGGACTTACTTTTTAAATCATTTGAAAGCCTGGAGGAAGCGGAACAAGACCTTTCTCGCCAGGTTCTGGAAGCGAGCTCCCTTCTCGAGGCTTCTTTGGAGCACATGACAAAGGGGACAAGACAAGAGAAAAGAGCGGCCACGCAAGAGGCCCCTCAGCAGACTGTTAGATGTTCTGAGTTCGTGACAAGCAGGAAGCTTCCTGTTGGAAAAACTTCAGAAGTTGAGCTATCCAGTCGTAAGCCGCTTGCAGGCATTACTGGAGAGAAGCCAAAGGTCATTGCATATTGTGGTGCCTTGTCAATGCTGGAGTGTCCTCAAGCTGGGTGCAAGAAGAAGCTGAGGGATAAAACCGCCCTGAGGAAACACATGCTTGTCCACGGGCCCCGGCAGCACGTGTGTGCAGAGTGTGGGAAAGCTTTTATTGAGAGCTCGAAACTAAAGCGGCATTTTCTGGTGCATACCGGAGAGAGGCCGTTTCAGTGCACCTTCGAAGGCTGTGGCAAGCGCTTCTCACTAGATTTCAACTTACGCACCCACGTCCGCATCCACACGGGTGAGAAGCGCTTTGTGTGCCCTTTTGATGGCTGCGAGAAGAGCTTTATTCAGTCAAATAATCTGAAGATTCACATCCTAACCCATGCAAAGGCAGGGAAGAAATGCTGAAAGCCAAGACAGATTGTCCTCAGACTGGGTAGTCTTAATGCTTAATGGCAGAGGCACTGGGGGTACATGCATTATGTATGGATTATTATCTGTAGGGATGGATTCTATGGCTAAAAAGGTTTTGCAACTCTAGAAGGCATGCTTGTATTTTTTTATTTATTACATAATTTTAGGATCTTTTTTGTATTTCATAGCATAGTTCGAACAGAAAAGTCAATGGTGAAAGCAGTTCAGGAGCATAACCTTTAGTATATGCTGCACTATTGAAGGTGATAGGTTTTTTGTATACTTCATAGAAAATCACTTATTTTTAATTATGCAGTTACTAATTGCCTAGCTTTTACCTTTAAAAATGTGCTTCATGGTAAGTGTGACAATCCTAAAGAATGGGTAGCTTTGGCAGTAGTCAACAAACGCATACATATTTCTAAATTCAATTTTTTTGATTTTTGTTTTCCTCATTGTACCAAACTATATTAATCATACTTAAATGTGAATAGTTATATAAGAAAGTTGATCCATCTGAAGATTTTAGGTGTTTCCAAATAAAAGGAAATAAAACACTAAAAACGAGTTAAATTTCTGGGAAAAAATTCATTGTTCTTTATAGCAAAAGGGTGGGGTGGTATGTATCTTTAATCCCAGCATCCAGGAAGTATAAGCAGACAGGTCTCTGAGTTTGAGGCTAGCCTGGTTCATAACAGCAAATGTCAGCTCAGTCAGGACTGACGATGAGACCTTCCCCAAAAGAAAGTTACTGACATTCAGTATTGATAGACCAGCCCATCAGTGAGTTGTCAAAGCTGTTTTCATATAATTTCCAGGAGTTCTCTATTAAATTTCTGAAGGCCAAAGTGACACCAGAAATGTATGCTCTTGTAGTTATGGAGGGTAGGAAGCTACCAGTCCAAACAAAGGGTCAGGCCAGGGTCTTGTTTCCTGCTGTGTGTGCTGTGTCTTCAAGCATCACCTGCTCCTGTTTTCTTTGTGCTGAGTAACCCTCCACCCCGAAGACCTCATCTTAATTATCTATAAAAAGACTTCAGGTAAGATCACATTCTGGTTCTGAGGTACTGGGAGTTTTAATGTCTGAATATTGAGGAGGATACAACCCATAAATTTTGTGCAGCACTGTTTGGCCCAGTAATTTTTATTTCTAGAGTTCTTTAGAAGTGCTTACAGTCATGTTTGAAAGTATTTCCTCAAGGATATTAAGGAAGCTCTATTTGATTGTAGTGCATTCATAACATAAATGTCCGCTCAGTAAAAACATTTACCTAAATCATGCTAGGTCTCCTCCATGGAAAAATATGCAAATGTTTTTAAAGGACCCCACAAAGGGAAATGGGAGCAAGAGTTCATGTCTAGAGGGGACTCATACATAAGGAGCTTTGTTGTTCCTAATGGATAGGATAAACCTGAGTGTGCATGCTAGGGAAGGAATTCGCAGCAGTTAAATGTGGACAAAGGAAAAGGTAGTAAAAATAAAACTCTAACTCTGTTATAGGAGTTAACTTCTTTGTATTTGTATGATTTTGAAGTGAACTGGCCAGAAAACCTGCACCCCCGCCCACCAGTCAGTGTCAATGATTTGGTTCTGGTAGAAATGCTGCAACCCAGCTTAGTTAAATGCCACTTTGTCTTGAAGATTTACCATATCCCTGGAAGTTAAAGCACATATTTTAGAAAAAGGATGAGTGATGATTAATCTTTATAAATGCCAAAGTTTGAAAACAACCTGTCTTTGAAAATCAGGGCTTGCCGGGCAGTAGTGGCGCACACCTTAAATCCCAGCACTTGGGAGGCAGAGGCAGGTGGATTTCTGAGTTCGAGGCCAGCCTGGTCTACAGAGTGAGTTCCAGGACAGCCAGAACTACACAGAGAAACCCTGTCTCGAAGGAAGAAAAAAAAGTATCGGCTTATAGGCTGACTTCAGTGTGAAGTTTTTGCTTATACGTACGATTACAGAATGTTAGCTATTTAGTATATGCTTAGTAAGACAGTTCTATGTTTTATAGGAATGTGGATCCTGAAACTCCACATTAATATCAGTAAAGTAGTGCACAAAAGCCATTCATAAATTTCAATTTTCTTCTAAATCAAACACCCATATACAGAACTTAAGGCGAGTTTAATCATGGTGATGGATCATGTGCCTACCTGGTGTTTGCTTTTGCCAGCCTTGTGTCTGACTCCATCCTTTATGGATTCTAGTTCCAGAGTAAAGATTAAAGAGCAATCAAGAGATGCAGGCTCCTCAGACCAGAGCCTCAGAACACTCAGAAGGCTTAAGATTGGCTCTCTTTGTAAAGGCTGGTCTGCTTTAGAGAAAAAGTCTCTAAAGTTATAATAAGATGTTCATATCTGGATGTTGAGGCCTAGAAAGTCCTGTGAAGGAAGAGGATTTTATGTGGCTGGCCTGGCCTTTCTGACTCTTTTTCTCCCTAAAGATGTAGATGGACTGCCAAAGATAATGAAGACACGGAAAAAGAGGGTAGATATTGAGTTAATTGAAATACTTTCTTGTGTTCCAGTTTTTATTTCATGTGCATTGGTTTTGTCTGAATGTGAGGGTGGGTGTTGGATCCCCTGGAACTGGAGTTAGGAGCTGCCTTGTGGGTTCCAGGGTCCTCTGGAGGAGCCATTGCTCCAAACCCTCCCCCCCCCATACACACACATATATATTTGTTTGTTTTGTTTTGTTATTTTGAGACAGGGTTTCTCTGTGTAGTCCTGGCTGTCCTGGAACTCACTCTGTAGACCAGGCTGGTCTCGAACTCAGAAATCTGCCTGCCTCTGCCTCCCAAGTGCTGGGATTAAAGGTGCGAACCACCACTGCCCGGCTTTTTTTTTTTTTTTTTTTTTTTTAGTGTTTGACATTTCGCCTTCATGTATGTCTGTGCACCATGTGAGTGCAATGCCTCTAAATGCCAGAGTGGAACGTTGTTTCCCCGGAACTGGACTTAGAAAAGGTTATGTAGGTGCTGGCAATTGAACCCGGGTCCTCTAGAAGAGCAGTCAATGGTGGGAACCACTGGGTCAGGTCTCCAGCCCTTTTGTTAATGCTTTACAAGGGAATGCACACATACTTTTCACATTTGTGTTTTACATAAGAAACATCCAAGCAAAATTAAAGAGTCGGCCCATCTACATTTTTACATGAATCCAGACACTGCTGTTTAATCAGCTCCACAGCTGGATAATAGACATGCACACATGCACAGGCTAGATTTTCCTGCATAACTGAAAGCTTATTTTGCCAACACCTGTTCCTTCTGCCTCCCTACTTCTATTGACGCAAAGTACACCATTTCAGCCTGGCATGGTGGTGCTCGCCTTTACTCCCAGCACTTGGGAGGCAGAGGCATTTGGATCCCTGAGTTTGAAGCCAGCCTGGTCTACAGAGTGAGTTCCAAGACAGTCAGGGCTACACAGAGAAACCCTGTCTCAAACTCTTCCCGCTCCTCCCCAAATACGTATATTTGCCTTTATTCTTTGTTTTTTAACATATTTTGCTGTTGATGATCAGCGTGGTTTTTTTTTTCTTTAATATAGTGGCATCCAAGATTTTCCACATTACCAAAGGCTGTATCTCCTGCAAGCAGTAATACCAGTCTGTGTTGCTTCTACACCTTAGGTATTCTGAACAGCTTTAATAGGCAAGGGGGTCGAGATGTAAGAGTGAAATGGCTAGTTACATAGTAATCCGGCTTAGGTTTTTTTTTTTTTTTAAGACCCCCTAAGCTGTCTTCCACAACAGTTCTTCCACACAGAATGTTGTGATTACAGAAGATGGGTTCCCTGTGGTTACATTGTGTTATCCAGTTTTTAATGGATTATTTGTTTATTTGCTAGTGAACTCTGAACTATTGAATCTTTGTATATTTTAATACTTCCTTATCAGAGGTAAATATTTTCTACTAGTTTGAAGATGGCATTTTAATTATGTTGATTTATTGATTTATTAGCTGTGTACAAGTTCTTTAGTTTTGTGAAATTCCACTAATTTTGTTTTGTTTTGTTTTGTGGTGGTTTTTAGTTTTGGTTTGACTTGGTTTTTGTTTTTGAGACAGGGTATCTCTGTATAGCCCTGGCTCTCTTGGAACTCTGTAAACCAGGCTGGCTTTAAACTTACAGAGCCACCTTGCCCTACCTCCCAAGTGCTGGGATTAATAGTGTACCTCCCTGGCCTGTTGTTTTAACATTAATTCCTCCAACCTATGAGGAAGGGGTATCTTTTCATTTTACATTTCAGTTCCAGTAATATTTATAATTTGCAGTGTATGGTTCTTTCCTTGGTTAAATTGCTTCCAAAGTATTTTTATGTAACCATAAATAAGTTTTTTTTTCCTAGATTAGTGCCAGGGTAGAGAAATTGAATTGAACAAACTGAAAATCAGTGTTAATGTAGATCCTTTCTCTAACACTTACACATTGGTAGTGGAAAGATGGGTCAGCAGATAAACCGGGTACCGCTCTGCAGAGGACTTGGGGTCTTTGCCCAACACCCACATCAGGCAGCTTACAACTAACTGCCTATAACTCATTTCCAGGTGAACCAACACTCATTGAGCTCAGTGAGCACCTGTGCAAATGTGGTGTGCACATAGACACATAATCATTTTTTAAAAAGAATGACTTGCTATAGCACCTGAAACATCTATACTGTTCTCCTTCACCAGAGACTTTTGACATAGGGTCTTTTAACCCTGGCTGCCCTGGCTCTGTGCCCTGCCCTGTGTACCACCATGCCCAGGTTGTCCACTTCCTATATGCCTCTCTCTTGCTGGCGGTGTGCATGTGCAGACATCCGTGTGCACTTGTATAGTAATTACCCCCATGCAATGGCTCTGACTGAATAAGCTGCATGATTACATCCTGCATTGGACATAGAACAGTGCAAGTTACATTAAAAACCCATTATATTTGCAACTCCAAGCAAGAACTATAATTAAAAGGCAATTGGATGAAATTAGCTTTAAGAGTACAAGAGCTTAAGC